GTCTATAGTTCAGAGCCGACTGTTGCCCCCACCAAATTGATGACTTTCTCATTCAAGCTCTTCATTATCTGTCTCCCTGAAAATCATTTCTACTCAACTTAATGACCCCAGGTTTGTATTATAAACCCAAGTAGTCTAACTTCTTTGGCATCTAGTGAAGAACCACGTAGTTCTATTCTTTCCTCTGGCTGCACTTAGTTAAAGACAAACAGGATCACAAATACTTCTGGGACTTAGTGCCATGCAGCTGTAAGAAAGGAGTATTTGTGAAAGACAGATTCCCACCGTAAGCTGTATCTACCAGTGTATAGCCTCCGGCAGTTTACTTAACATCCCCGAACCTCAATTTCTTCTTCTGTGTAAACTGAAAAACTATAACACATCTATTATATTTTTTATTTTGAAATAAATGAAATGCTAAATTTGGCTTAGTATTACAACTGACTAAGAAAATGAATATTAGCTTTCCCTCCCCACTATGCATCCGAGATGAATTTTGGAGCAGAACTTGCAAATACTCCTGAATTATGGTGACCGTGGGAGCACGGCATGTAGATTGTAATCCCAGTTTGAAGGCAATCAGCTGTTCTCGGATACAGCAGTACAACTTCTCTGGCTTCAGCTAGAATCAAATGACTAAGGAGCAATGGATAAGTGAGGTGGTGGGTGGGTAGATGAGGGAAGACAGATCAGGCTGGACCCTGTCTTGCTGGTCTTGAGAAAGCATGGCTAGGCTGGCCCAGACACACCCGTGAGTACCTGACTCAGTTTGTCTGCTTGCATTGCAATTCTGTTGTTTAAATTCCTGACCACCTACCTGGCCCTGTCAGGGCCGTCCTCCAGATGTCATTCATGTTTTTAGCCATGGGCTGGTGAGATTGCTCTGAATGGAGTTTTCTCAAGAAATGTCAAGCCCACTTGGCTGCTGGGAAGTATTTTATCACCACCTGTCCTGCTAGATTGTTCTCCCTGGTTGTGACAGCTCAAAGCAAACTGGTGGTTGCCACGTTGGTTTGGATATGTATACAGAACATCTGAAAATTGATTGAGAAGTATGCCCTTTATTTGGGGCATTTCCCTCAGCCATACCAGGGTTGTCTCATGACTCTTGCCAGTGAATCATCTCACTGGGTTGAGAAAAAAGTTTGCTACATTAAAAAAACAAAAAAACAAAAACAAAAAAAAAGAAAACGTATTTATGATGTGGTCACAAGTTTACAAATACTTCTGGAAGTTAGTAAGCACTGACACTTCAATTGACCAGTTTGTATCCTTCTCAAAAAGTAAACGTAACATTAATTCTTTCAAAGGGTGACAATAGACAGACTTTTCTCAGGGGACAGGAAACCTAATGTTATAGAACTAGAAGCTCCGGCATTTACATTTTAGCTTTAAATGATATATATTATATATAAATATAAATAAACACATATAAATATAATACAAATATATATTTTAAAATTATATCTTATATATTTATATAAGTAAATATATTAATATATTTATTATAAGTAATATATCAACTATCAACTCTGATATGTGCATTTTAAGAGTGAAAAATGATCTTATTTTGTTACAAAAGGAAAATGGATGAGAGGATCTATTAAATAATTAGAATCACTTAGCTTTTTGAAGGAAAAAGAAAAAAGTGCAAGGGTTGCATTGATTATTATCTTTGAAATCAAAAGGGTTTTTTTGAGGAAGAAGATATAAATGAAATCAGGAGGGAACTCAGGTACATATAAAATTTAACTTACTTGTTATTAAGGATAAAAAGTTGGAGTTATATCAGAAAAATAATGAGACTTTCCTTATAGATTCCACCATTCAATAGCCATTTAGCAAGTTATCTACTCTATGTCATACAATGTACCTTGTCCTGGTCATAGAAAGCTGGATAAAGACACAATCTCCATGCTAAAGAAGGGAACATTCTAGTGGTGTAGAGACTGGTGAACTAAAAAATATATATAAGTACTAAAAAGTGATTTAATACAATGATACTACTACTAAGTGTGCTTATTATACATGGTTATTGTGTATTAGGCACTATATTAAAAGCTTTACGTGTATTATCTCTTTTAATTCTCACAATAATCTTATGAAGTAGATACCATTATTATCTGCATCTCTCAGTTGAGGAAACTGAAGCTTAGGGACAATGACATAATTATAATAAATGGTAGTAACGTAACAGAGTTAACAGAGTTAACGCAGCCAGGATATCGTAACAGATATCGCAGCCAGGATAACGTAACAGAGTTAACGCAGCCAGGATATCGGCAAAGGCTTTACAGAGGAAGAATCCCTTCAGCCGGGTTTTGAATGTGGTGCTCAAGATCATAACACATAGTGGGGGAAATGGCAGTCTTGGCAAAGGGAACAGAGAGTATGAGGACATTGAAATAGCAGAGAATTGTAAAAAAATTGGTATTTCTACAGCATATGTGTGTAAGTCAAGAGAGCACCGAGAGATGAGTCTAGACAGGCAGACGAGGACTATATCGCAAAGGAGCTACGATGCGCTCTTAGGGAATTTAGATGTTGCCTTGCAGGTAATGGGGTGCCGCTGGCTGGAGGTGAGGTGAAGTAGAGATTAAACCTGGGGATGATTATTTTTGTGTTTTAGAAAGATTACTCAGGTAACCAATGCGTGAGAGGGTTTGGCAATGGATTTGAGAGCCTGGGGACAGGCTCATTGTACATCCAGGTAACAGATGACATGTGTTTGAATGAAGACAATGGCATGGGGATCGAGAAGAGAAAATCTCTGAAGGTAGACTAGATAAGTCTTGGAAACTGACAGGAAGTGTGGCGGAGTGAAGGATTGTTCTTGAGTTGTGGCTCTGTGAACTGATATTTAAGAACACAGCAGAAGGCTAGGCACTCTGAATAATTTGGACTAGATTTAACAGTCTTAAGGAAGTGAAGGAGCAAGCTTCTGACCTTCTGCTCTTTTCAAAAAGGTCCCAGGTAGGAGAAACGCAAATTCCCTAGAGAGGCAAGAGGCATCAGGAAGTTCTTCATCACCTCCCGCTACACACTCCTGACCCCAATTAAAAGCACATCCTACTCACGTTACACAACCAAAATGCAAAGCTTTATAAACAATTTGTATTTCATTGTGAATTATTTTAATATCAATATGTTTACCTTAAAGGAATAGCGCTTGAATTTAGGGATTGGGGGTGAGTGTAACTGGATGTATCAAGGAAGAATAAATTTGGAACTTTGAATACAGTGATAACTGTTCGGGCAGGGTGGCATCTAAGAATGCTAGACTTCTGAACAGTGAGAGGCAACAGTGTCCCTTCGTGGATCTTTGCACATGCTGACCTCATTCCTAACTGACACAGAACGATACAGGGGAAACCAGATGGACACCCAGTCTCATCTAGTTTGCTTGGGGCCTGTGAGAAAGAACTTAAATCCAGCCCCAAACAGGATTCAAACATGTACTGAAGTGTTGATGCATTAAGATACCCTGAAGGTCAGAATGGAGAGAGAAACTAGAAGGCCATCTAGAGAAACCACCATCTAGAGAAACTGGAAGGTAGGAGTTGCTGGGCCAGTTTGAGCAGTGGGTCCAGGATATCAGAGGGGTGTAGACCTCAGGAATAGTGTGGGGCTGTGTCCTGTAATCGCACACCTCGGTCTCCCTTGTGTTCGCAAACTGTGTCACTAAGGGCCTGAGAACTCTACCAGGGAACCCTGTCCTGAAAGAGCCGATTACAAGAAGTGGAGAATATTTTTCTTGCCAGTTCAAAGGACAGAAGCGAGTTGGAAGTCAGTGTCTCAGAGGAGAATATCAGTGGCCCACAGTCTGTAGAACAATAGATGACGATGAAATGAAGGGAGAGTTATAGACCGAGGAGATGACCACAGAAGGAATGCAGGGCTGTGACCAGCTCCAGCTCTGGTCACCTGAGAAGGCCCTCCTCACCCCACCCCAGAACCCCTAGAGAGACTATCTGGAAAGAGGATCCAAAGAGAACAGAAGTCCTCTTCCAGGTCATCCAACCAATGGAAGCCTCAGTTACTAAATGTGCTCTAAGTGAGTCACATTTGTACTCCCCAACTGCGGACCCCTGGGGCAGTTTGATTCATGAAAGATGCTCAATGATTATTTGTTGAAATAATACAGGAATAGGGAAACATTTTAAGATAGGTTAGATCTGAGAAACAAACTGCAGTGGTGGTGGTGGTGGTTGCAGGGGGGTGGTTAGGCAGTCAGTGGAGACTTGGTCATAGCAGAGGAAAGTGAGGAATTAAAATTATGTGGTCTTTATTTTTTTTTTAATAATATTTTAAAATATTTCCAAGGTTCTTGGAGGTAGAAGAACACCTGTATGCCTATACATGTAATTTTGGCTATCTCTCAACTAATTTAAGACGTTGGTGCCCCTTTTACCTGAAGGCAAACCTGAAGGCAAATAAGGAAAGAGGTTTGCAGTGTTCACACCTACTAGATACAGAAAGGATGCTGGCGTTGAACATTTCTGATGAGATGGAGGAAGAGGCAGTACGCGTGCTCTAACGCCCGTCCTGGTGAAATCTTGGCAAACTGTGGGAAGTGGAGCAACAAGCACTGAAATATAAACACTGAATTTCAGCCTCCTGATGGAGAAGTCAACCTATTCCCCATCTCCTGGAATGTAAACTCCATCCTTTATTTCTTTTGTCTTAATCTCCATTTGGTGCTATAAACAAGACAGATAGCCTCAATTTTTTATAATTGACAAATTAATAATCTAGAACGAAAATATTATGGAAGCAAGGACTTTGTCTTGTTCAGTGCTACATCTTTAGCACTTATAACAGCTCCCAGCAAATAGTAGGTGTCTGGTATTTGTTGACTGAATGAATCTCAGAGAAAAGATTTTTTTTACTTTGAGTGGGGGAGGGGTGAAGAGTGAGAACAGTAGTAATAATAACAGCTATCATTTATTGAAAACTTACTATTACTAGCCACTATACTAGATGCATTTTATAGTTTATCTCATTTAATCCCCTAAGTCATCTTATTAGATAGCAATTGTTATCTCCATTTTATAGATGAGAAGGCCAAGACTCAGAGAGGCTGGGTAATAGGATTATAGTCGTATGGTTTGTGTGTGGCAGACTCAAACTGAAATCAAGTTTGTCTGACTCCAAACCTATATCTTCTCATTCAAAGTTGCCATTTTATTCCTAAAAGGAAAAAACTCTCCGGCGACTGAGAAGCCTCTTAAGGGCCCCCTTCATGTCCTTGTTCCTTAGGCTGTAGATAAAGGGGTTCAACATGGGGATCACCACTGTGTACATTGCAGCTGCTGCAATGTCCTTCTCTTCAGAGGCAACAGAGGGAGGGCACAGGTAGGCAGTGAAGAGGGTCCCATAGAACACACAGACAACACAGAGATGGGAACTGCAGGTGGAAAAGGCCTTGCCGGCCCCACCAGGAGTTTGGACCCTCAGGATGGCTGATACGATGCGAATGTAGGAGATGACAATGCAGATAAAGGGGACGATGAGTACCGTTCCTCCCAAGGCAAAAACCATCAGGTCGTTGATGTGGGTGTCAGAACACGACAGCTTCAGGACAGGAGTTATGTCACAGAAAAAGTGAGCTATTTCCCCAACGACACAGAAGGACAGCCGAGCCGCAAGGAGGGTGTGAGTCAGAGCAACAGCATGGGTGAGGACCCAGCACAATGTAAGCAGCAGGGCACACACTTGAGGGCTCATGACTGTGGAGTAGTGGAGAGGGCGGCAAATGGCCACATAGCGGTCATAGGCCATCACGGCTAGGAAGAAGCTGTCCAGGTCCCCAAACATCAGGAAGAAATACATCTGTGTGAGGCAGCCGGCGTAGGAGATGGTATGCCGCTGAGTCTGAACATTCACCAGCGTCTTAGTAACTGTGGAGGACGTCAGACCCATGTCAACGAAAGACAGGTTGGCCAGAAAGAAGTACATGGGGGTGTGGAGGTGTGGGTCAGAGCTGATGGCCAGGATGATGAGCACATTCCCAGTCAAGGTGACAAGATACATACACAGGAAAATACCAAAGAATAATTGTTGTTGCTCTGGTGATGCAGATATTCCTCGGAGGAAAAATTCAGAGACACTGGATTGGTTTTCCATCACTGTAGCATCTGGAAGCTAGGAAGGACAGTTAGAATGCTAGATTTCTTCTAGAGCTCTACATGTTGAAATATGACTTCCAAATCTTCTAACTCCCAATGTTCCTTTAAGTTTATTATCATCCCCAGTCCTAACTTTACCTCCAATCTGATCCGACTTCTTTTCTCTCTTTCTTAGGATGCTTGC